CAACAGAGCTCTCTCTGATTGCGTTGTTTTAGAAGAGAAGTCCTTAGACAACTTCTACTAGTCATTATATTAGTAGATTATCCTCTTCCAGCTCTGTATAACCCTTGTTGGGTTATAAGTTCTACATATTGGTGACTCTGCCCGGGCTTGACAAATTAAAAATTAGCTTATAATCAAATCAATTTCTCTTTAATCATTATCAACAATCAAAGTATATTATATTACATCAAGACTCAATAAAAATTATCCACGTGGTTATCAACAGAAGATATTTAAAATTAAATTTATTCAAATTAATCATAAACATTATCTTTCATTCTCATTTAAAAATATATCAAAATTAGTTCTTATTTAAAGAATTTATTATATAAAGAAGCTATGTCTTCAGTTATTCAGATGCATAATCAAGATGTGGTGGATGATGGAGATGAGGAATTAGAATTACCACCAACATCTCATTATAAAAGAACTCCACGAATTTCTGGAAGCAGAGTTTATGTTCCAGATGCTTCTACTTCTATTAATATATTACCACCACCACCACCTCCAGGACCTTCCTCTGGATCAACTATTCATGGAAAACAACGTGAGGAACAACCTGCTGCTGAGGATCCAATTCCACCTTCAGCTTTTACTGGATTCAGGGAACAAGAACCATTATTACCCTCTGATCATGAGGAAGACGTGGATTGGCAGCAACAATATTATAATCAACAACAATATTATTTACAAAGAGAAAAAGAAGTGGCAGATATGATCACTAATAATAGAATTAAGGAAGAAAAAAAGAAGAAGGAGAAGGAAAAAGAGGTGATAAAAGTCGTGAAAAAGAGTAAAGGAAAGAAGGTTATTAAGAAAATTATTAAAGAAGATGATGGAGGAGATTATTCAAGCTCTTCAAGTTCTTCAGATGATGATTCAATTAGTAATGGGGATGTCAGTAGTGAAGAAAGGAATGAGGAGGCTAGAAGTCATATTAAACCACGTAGAATTGATAATACTGATTCAAGTATTAGATTTGAAGTTGGAAGGAATGTTAAGAAGTTCATTATTAATTATCATAGTCAAGCTGAAGCAAATGGCGCCTCAGAACTTGATATGGTCAGGCAAGTAACCAGCTTTGTTGTTGGAGAAGAATTGAAGGAGGAAATACGTGAAATGGATGGATGGGGTACTGGTGAATGGAGTTGGAAGAAAGTTAAGGAACAATTATTTGAAAGGTATCAAACTACCACGGAGCAACCAAGATATTCAATTGATCATTTAAGAACTTTATCAGAAAGAACTGCTAGGACTGGTGGTGTTACAAATAAAGCTGAATATCAAACATTTAGAATTAATTTTGACAAAATTCATCAATATTTAACAAGACATGATTATATTGATTCAAATGATGAAGAAGTTGCACACCATTTCTATGATGCTCTCTCTGATGAGCTTCAAAAGAAATTCAAGAAAAGCATGATAAGAAAGAAGTTAATGAAGAAGGTGGATAGTGGAAGATATAGGTTACCTAATTTAAATAAATTAAAGAAGGTTGTTGATCATTATATTGAAGAAGAAGCCTTATTAATCTTTGAGGATATTGGAGAAGAGAAGTTTGCAATCAAGAATGAAATTGCTGGTGTTAGAAGTGAAGTAATTCAAAAAGATACTAGTAATAAAGTTGCAAAAATAGGAGGAATGCAAGCAAAAGCCACGCAGCAAATGGAAGTTTTATGTAGTGATTTGGGAAATTTACATAGAAATCACGTGCAGGCTCCATTATTATTACCACCTGTAAATGCATTACACCCTTATCTTCCTGTTTCAAACTCTTTACAAACTCAAATCCATCAACAAGCTGAACCTTTTAGAGCTCAACATCAGCAAAATCCGTCAAATTATCAAAGAGTTAATCAATCTTATAACAATAATAATAACTTTAATAATCAGCCACGTAATTTTCCAGCTCAGAATTATAAAGGACAACAGCCCAATTATAGCAGGCCTTATAATAATAACAATGCTAATAGACCTTATAATCCGCAAAATCCAAATACTAATAATCAAAATACTTATCAACCTCCACCACCTCCAGTAAATGGTAATCAAGGGAATACTGTCTTCTGCGTGTATTGTAATACTGAAGGACATACTGTAGGAAGATGTTGATGGGTAATTCAAGATAAGCAAGCTGGATTATTGCAAGATAGGATGGATGGTTTCTTTTTACCTTCAGGAAATGTAAGAATGTTTAAGCAAGGGGAAGATGGAATTAGGCAGCAAGTTATTAGATATTCTGAACAGCAAGCCAATGATGCTACACGTCAAAATATACAACAACAACGTGTAACAACTCCAGCTGTACATGTTAATACACCTGTAGTACCAACTGTAACTCCTACAGCTATTATTACTAAAAATGACGGGAAAGATAAAATTCAAGAGCTTAAAACAAGTTGTGGTATTCTTGAAGGGGATTGGAGGATGCCTGAAATATTAAGAAGTCATGGGAATGAATTATTGGGAGGAGGAGGAACTAAAATTTATGATATTACAGCAAATACACGTAGTGGAAAGACTGTAACTCAAGCTGAACCTAAGAAGAAGAAGAAGGTTACTATTAATGAAGAAGCTGAGGATATTGATGATGGTATGGATTTAGATATAGAAAATAATATTGAAGAAGCTGGAATAAATGAAATGGAGGAGAGTTTAAGAAGAATTCACGCTGATGATGATAATAGAAATATTAAGGAAGGCTCAAATAAAACAATCAGACCTTCTTATATAATGCCAGGACACGGGGAACAGAAGAATAAATTAGAAAGACCAGTCTTTGCAGACAATCCAAGGGTTGTAACAGACGTGGTTCAAAAGTTAATGAAGAGTGTTATTGACATTCAAGTTAAAGAATTATGCGCCATTTCTCCTGTGGTATCTGAAAAAGTTAAGAAGTGGGTTTCAAAGAGAAGATTAAATATGAATCAAGAAACAATGGCTTCAGCAGTTAACAGTACAGCTTTATCTGACTTTGAATTTGATTCTGAAAGTAATTCATCTATGGAAGTTAATTTACCTCAATCACCTTTATATTCCACGCCTTTGGGATATGTTACTATTACAATTGGTAAAATTAAATTGAAAGCATTGGTTGATTCAGGTTCTCAAATTAGTATAATTCCTCAGAAGTTTATGCAATTATTACCTGTTCAAACTGTGGTTAATATTAAAGGAGCAGTAAGAGGAATTGGTGGACAGAAGACTGTTTTATGTGGGATTGCTGAGAAAGTTAAGGTTAAGATGGGAAGGAATATTGAAGGCTTGGTTCAATTCTACGTAACTGAGGAGAGTCAAACTCCAATAATATTGGGAAGATCTTTCTTATTTGATTATGCTGTTCAATTGGATTTCAAGAAAGACTTAGGAGAGATGATGACATTAAAAGATAATAGAGGAGTATGGATGAAGGTAAGGTTATGTGAACCTGATAAGGGAAATTGGGAAAGATAATTAAATGTGGAAATTGAAGAAAGGCAAGGTTATGCAGCACCTGATTTATGCTTGGGTGTTGATTATGATATAGTTGAAGATGAAGATGATGAAGAAGAAGTATTTGGATTGCAATTTGAGAAAGAAAGTGTGGATTATGATTTAATAAATGAATTAAGCTTAATCATGTGTTTGGAGGATCAAGAAATATTTGGAAGAGGGCGTGAACTCAAGGATTTAAGGAGTTATAGTACTAAATATAAGACTGTAGACAAGAAGGTTAAACCTGTTAATGCGCCAATGCCACAGTATTTAAATCTTCCTTTACAAAGACCACCTTTATCAAGGGATCCTCATATTACTCCTTTAATTAAAAATCCTCCAGTCTTCAAAGAAACTGAGAAAACCACGGTGGAAAGACTCAAGCAATGCAACTTTGGACCTGCAGAACGGTTCAGTGAGGAGGAATGGAAGTTATTCTTATTGATATTGGTATTAAGGGAGGCAGCAATAGCTTATTGTGAAGAAGAAAGAGGATTATTGAAGCATTCATATGGACAACCTTATGCAATACCCGTGGTGGAACATGAGCCTTGGCAAATTAGACCTATTCCTATACCTGTAGCAATAAGGAATGATTTCATTGAATTAGTTAGACAAAGAATAAGAACAGGTCTTTATGAACAATCCACGTCAAGTTATACTAGTCCTGTATTTTGTGTACTTAAAGGTGATGGAAAATTAAGGGTAGTACATGATTTACAAGTATTAAATAGAGTAACAATTAAGGACTCTGGGGTACCACCTGCTCCTGAAGATTTCGTGGAATCCTTTTCTGGAAGAGCTTGTTATGGACTTGGTGATATTATGGGAGGTTATGATGAAAGGGAATTAGCAGCATTTTCACTTCCTTTAACAACTTTTGAAAGCACCTGTGGCACCTGTACAAATCGACTGTACAGCCAGAGAAGAAATGTACTTCTTCGTCGGCTGACAAGCCGGAGCTTCGCAGCAGAGCAATCCAGATGCTCTGGAGCACTATCATTTCACACTACAAGTCCCTTTCCAAGATTTTTTTTCACTTTTTACATGTTTTGTACCCTCAATTCATGCATTTCCGTCACTTTAGAGCACAAGAAAGTATCTGAAAAAATTGATAAATTTCAGTAAAGTCACCAGAGCACTGAGAGTGTTCTGATACGTGCTCAGAGCGCTCTGGACGCCTGTCAGAGCACCCTCAGTGCTCTGGTAGATAAGGTCAGAACACTTTTAGTGCTCTGGTGGACAGTCAGACTGTTCTGACTCTATCTCAGATCACACTGAGAGTGACTGTCTGGTGGCTGTCTGCTACATAGGGACATCCACCGACATCTTCACCGAATATCGGAGTCATACATAGATTGTCGAGCTTCGACCAGACCAAACCTCCATAACCAGACCAGAACACAATCACACCGGAATCCAAAATACAACAGGTGATCAACTCAGCCAAATTAACGAACATCTTCCATCTATTTTCATCAACCAACAGCTTTCAACTCGTCATACAACAGCTTTTGACTCAAATACAATACATTTATTGAGCGTCGACCCCAACTCCTTCTGGTTGAACCTCCACACCTCTAAGCTCGCCACCTTCCAAGTCAATCGCCTCATCAAACTTGTCCCCACCATCAATTTCAATCTCCTCGTCTTCTTCATCGGGATCAACCCTAATATCATCACCGTCCCAAAGATTCAGAAACAACTCTGCCTCTTCGTCCTCGTCGAGTGGAACAGCATCAAGGATCTCTGCATGTGCATTCGCTGACCAGGCTTGTCTGCTTCTGGCTACCAAATCTGACCACCGCACCCTCAACCCTTCCTCTTCTTCGTCTGTAAGCTGACAGTATGTTTTTGTCTTTGACAACAACTCCGACATTCCACAGTTCCAGAAAATCATCAAACGAGCCAGTTCTTGTTCAATACGCAAATGGAGACTGCGCAGCACTTGTCTACTTTTTTTCAATCGATCAGCTGGCAGTGTTACCTTTGAGCGCACAACACCAATGATCCACTTATTCGTCTCGTTGTCTGGATCATCATCTGTAGAACAGGCCTTGGCAAAGGGTAAGTCTTAGTTCATTATTTGAAACAATGTATTGAATCGACCTATGATTTCGACAGCTGTCTTGAGAGCTGAAACCTTCCCTTCCATCTCCAATGCCCAACTGATAGATTGTCAACATTCTCTCCCAATCCGGCGTAGTTCATCACTAGCGTGGGTCATATACAGGTAAGCGCGAATTCCATCCTGTGTATCTTGATCCATTGCCCATGGCTGGTCAGGATGAGTAAGTTGACCGATGTCCCAAAACCAATCTGCTAGGGATAGGCTTTTCATCTCGTCAAAGGATGGGCATACGATGGATTCATCGGTGGGAAAATTGGTGTTGAATTTCTTGACATTTCCCTCAAAGGTGTTGTATTTAACTTTCAAGAGGGCTTGTTTTTCTCACAGAGTTTTCTTTGTATGCTGTTGGCTTCGAGTGCCTTTAGTTTTAGTCAGAAGGAATAAATGATCAATTTAGTGACCTATCATACACTGCCATGGAAGGACTTGATCGGCTCCAACCTTCCCTCTCATCGTTCCTCCGTTGCATCTCAAAGACATCAACCCGAGCCCCATAGAGTTTTGATTTTGAAACCCGGATCCTAATAAGAAGTTTACCCTTTGGTGCTACAGGCAGCTTTTTGTTATTGATATTTTCATGTTCAGTGTACCTTATGACATGAAGCACTCACTCAAACGTCCAGGCATGTCACGATAGTGTGGACCTCCTAGCTGCTCCGCCAGATCATCAATCTCTTCTTCGAGGAGCTGTATAGTCTCTGGTAAAATTGCTAATTTTCGACGCTCGGCGGCTGTTTGATTCCGCCTGTGCTTAGCCTGCAGTGCTCGAAGTTCGTTTCTGAGAAATAAACCACATGAGACTGAAGCAACAAAACAAAACATTCGACTCATATGTACTCAACTTGGCCTCCTGATGACGTTCTTCCAAGGCAACGAGTTTATTCAATTTCACGGTCAAAGCCTGTGAATTTTCGTTCACCATAGCGTTCAGTTGGCTTTCCCTCTGATGAGTCCATTGTGCTTTCAGATAAGCCTCTGTGTACGTTGGTTTACGTCGTCTCAAATCTCGAAGCTGTCCCGCGCTTGTATGGAAGAGTTTCCCACTTGATGCCAAGCGGGTTTTCAACCATTGTACTAAGTCACATTGATTCATTAATAATTTTTCTATATAATCAAACTATCAATTATATATAGGAATTTGACATACTTGATTGCATCCTTTTGACTCTATTAGTATGCTGTGCTCGTAAGTTGAGAGCACAGAGTCTGTGGGCTTTAGTTGAGTACCTCAATGCACCAACTAAAGCGGCTAGGCTGGACCAGATTCTCTCCAGCCCTTCCCCATCAGACATCCCCCAATCTTCATTAAGTCGTGGGTTGTACATTAGCTGACAAGCCCACTGGTGAACATGAGAGTGAAAGACACTTGTTCCAAACTTAAGCCGCTTGGCTGCTCTTTCATCCTTGAAAAAATCTCTCTGTTTGGTTTTGTCGGAAAAAGAAATGAATACAGGTCTCCTTGGAGAATGTTTAAATAGTACATATCTTTAGGATACTTTTTTCCATATTACAACCAATGTCGTACAGTATTCCAAATCGAGGAGCTTCATGATCACCTTTGACAGTCTTCCGCAGGATCCAATCCATCATGGCCAGCGGAAAATACCCTCTACGTATAGGATATCCAAACTAGTCAGATTATGTGGAAACCAAAGGGAAAAGAAACTCACTTTTCACCGGTTTGAACCAAATTTATGAACTTGAGCAAATGATCGTGGCGACAAGCCATGCCCATTAGACCAGTTTCATCGCATCCACGCCAGGTTTGGCGTCCTCGTGTATCATTGGCAGCGGTGTGCTGAGCACTGCATGGATCCTATTGACAAAGCATAATCAGCTGTGAGTTCTCAATCGAGTTCAACAGATACTGTATTGAGACTCACAATAACCTCCACACCAACACGTCTACGATTCTGTGTTGCGTCCATTCGATCCTTCCACATCTTCACTTCCCCTGGTGGAATGAAAAGAGAAGGCAATATTCCTGTGTCACCTCGCCACGCTGCACTTGCGGCGAGGTGACGTCGTTGCTGAAAGTTAGCATCCATACATATGATAAGATTGGGCTCACTGTCCCTGATGCCCGGAGTCTGAGGTCCAAAGCATGATGGACAGTTATCGGCAAGCTCATCAAGAGCAGTTAACTTCAGACTGCGTATGGTCATTTCTTCCTCTAATCTGATCATCTCTCGGTAGACATCAACCGCTTCGGAAAAACACTTCCTTAAATCACGACGCTATTTGAGGTGGTGATTATTGTGTATGTATTAGTGCAATATAGTAATAGAACTCACCTGATGCTTACCGCAAACAAAGAAAATCGCATTTTGTGCGTCTAAGTACTCATCTAGGCCTTCAACAAAAGGTGCAATCCGGATACTTGAGAATTTCCAAAGGATATGGAAAAAACGTAACAAGCGTATTGAAAATGCTGTTCTGGGTCGAATAGGTGCACTTCCAATATACCCCATGTTTACCAGACGAATCAAATCAGAGGTACATTTACAAGACTTGATCAATAGCCTCGATCTACCTTTGATGTCAAGGAAAAAAGACTCAGTTGTATGTACAATTGACTACACAAGCACCACAAATCTCACCAATGATATCAATAGTATCGACTATGACTTCATGCCTCTGCCATTCGCGGCATTTACATTCCGAATTCCAGTCGTGATTCCACAGTTGTGGATGGCCCCATTGGAATGTCATCCGGCTACATGGAAGAAATTCACCGAATAAGGAGTGAATCACCGCTCGCCAGTTGACTTCTTTGCGAAGGGTGCGCTCCTGATAGGTCACGCTTCGAAAGTAATCGGATGGATTGGTTGTGATAGGGTTATGCGGATCGTTATCAGGATTTTCTATGTGAGTATACACAAGCTGTTCATAATGCTCATTCTCTTCATCTTCGTCAACTTCATTGGCTGGAGGTTGATTGATTGGGCCGGCGGTGTTGTTGTTGGGTGCAGGATTGTCTTCAAGAGCTTCTATTGATGCTTGTCCCTCACGAGCGTTCAAAGCAGCCAATCGCTGTCTAGCAGAACCCGATGGGCCATCTTTCGACTTCTTCTGACGCTTGACGTTTGGCCGAATCTCTTCACCAGGCAGAACCATGATGATTGCGTATAGGATTCGAGCAAAACCAAGTTTTAGGAAGCAAATTGATTGGTCACAGGGAGAACCAGTGATCCAAAGATCATCCCCCCTCTTATGCGCGTATATCCGAACCTGATTCTGATATGACAAACAATTGGCATATGCAACTCCTGCCTTGAGACTAAATGAACTCGACCTAGTTAAGCTAAGCGAGGACATTTGTAGTTGGAGAATTTGTTGGTGGATCTCACATAGATCACATTCATCAACAAATGAATGTACATAGCGAAATAGTGGTTTAAGGATAGTTGTAACTTCTTGAAATGCCCATCACAACTATCAATCATGAGTCACAAAACTTGAGTATCAAAGTGGTGTAAATGGTGAATCGACGAGTAGCAATCACCTGAGGTCACTTGTTGAGACACAATTCTCAAAGAAAAGTTTGTCATTACTTGAGTTACAACAAAATCTGAACCCATTAAATGATGGTGAAGCATTGGTCTATCCAATCTTGAATTACTTTATATCAAAGAGAAGGCCATCACAATTTCATTTGTGATAACAGTAGCCAATCCTACGTGTACAGGTCCCGTCTTCAAACAAAGTTGTCCAATAAAACTTTCACAATTTTCAAGTTACTAGAAAAGTTGAAAATGAACCCTTATCTTACATCATAGATCTATGGGTATGCGAGTTTTTATATATGCTCCATAAGCTCACTTCAGGTTCATTGATACTTTATCCACAAATCTCAAGTTTCTCTGAGACACGGGCGTCAAATAAAAGTTTTTCATTTTTCAAGATAAATGAAAAATCAAACCGGTGTCATAATACTATGGCATAGCTTCAACTAAAAATCAACTTTCTTTTTTTTAAAATTTGTTAGTCGTCATTTCTGTTTTTTGACGCCATTACCAAGTCTATTTCTCACGTGTGTGTGATAGACAGTTGTTAGGTGGTAAGTCTATGTTGAATATGACTATGACTGGTGACTGAGCCCGTGCTTAAGGAACCTACAATACCAGGAGCGAAAGTTCTTCCACCTTAGACACAGACTTACATGTTTGTTTGTTTGTGTGTAAAGTGGTGTGGGGTGGGCCCCAGACAGGAGCAGAGGTATTATAAGATCCTCAGATCATACCTCGAACCTCTCTGAGGCGAGAACAGAGCTCTCGGAGATGTGGGCTTCTCAGCCCCTAGACTCACGTAAACGAAGAGCCGTGAGCCATGAGAAGCCCCCAAATCTCTCGTCTGCGTGAGTCTCAACAACTCTCAACACTCCCGTTCATCTTTCCCCTAAACGCATCCTTTCTGTATGGGAAATTAAACTTTATATTGTCACCACAAATCCGCGGCCAATTCAGATGATCTGCGCGCTGATCCTTACAAAAGGAGAACTTTATTTTCTGAACAAACTCGAAGGACGCTGAAGCTACCTTCCAACTAAATCATATACACATCAGAGTGAGGCTTTTTAAAATTTTTCCCCCGCCCGAGGTCTTCTCAAACCGCTTGTCATTTTCCGTATGAAATCTTCAAATCATTCAGTAGCTTCTTCGTCGAACTTAGCTCCCTATCTGAATACTTTCGAAGGTATATCTTGTACGCGTCTGAAGACCACCTTCCACAGGATTTGAGGTTTTCTCTTGAAGCTCCGAGGTTCCATCTTAACGAGGCCCCCCCGATTCTGAACAAATGACCATACAGAAGTTGATTTTTCTTTGATCTATTCTCGTTCCAAATCTCTCTCAGGTATGTCACTGTTTCATTTTTCTTGAGGATTTTGCGACTTTTACCGGACCCTATTGAGAAGATCCTATCTGACGGGTTCCTGGGTCGATAATCGAACAGCTTCCGTAGGGCCTTCACCGGATTCAGGGTCGACTTTTGTTCTTGGAGGTGTATGAATTGAACTTCTCCCGGACCCGCGGTTTTTGCGTTCCTCAAGGTGATTCTGACGTTGACGTCTCCTTTTCCCCAAGCTACGTCTTCCCATCTAGGTACCTTGTCCGAGTCCTTGTTGGTAACCAACTCGCCTAACCTCGCTGTCCCCCAGAATGCGACGAGTGCCAAAGCTAGGATTGCCAGGCCTTTCTCCCCCTTGTTCGGAAGGTGTTCGCACAGGACGACGAGATCGGACACCATCACCGGTGGGCGTTTCTTTTCCTTGTTCTTGAATTCTGCCTCAATAGCACGCGAGGCTTTCAAGAGCCCTGCGACCGCGCCGTCGATGTGTGACGGGTAAACAGCGTTGTGGAAGAGGTGCCATGCCTTGATCCCGGCTACGTAGGCTTTTAGAGT